CTGCTCCCTGCTCCTGCTTCCCTTTGTACACTAGCTCCGTTGCTGGCTGTGGCGTGCTTTGCAATGGGCTAGTGCTGACCTGTCTGAAGTCGTGCCTGAGCTTGGGTCCGGTAGGCTGGGTGGGGAGCGTGTGCTGCCGGCCCTGCCGGTCGGTTGGCCGCCGCAGTGTTGCGTAGGGTCGTCCCCACGCCGAGTGGAGGCGCCGCCCGCTTCGGCGCCGAGGGTCGGGGTTTTGCGGGGTACCGCTCATGAAAGTCGGCTAGCGCCTCCGCTGCGTGGGTAACATAGGACGCTGGTTCCCATGAGACCGACCCATCGGCCCACCGGATCTTGTACTGAAGGAGGTTGTTTCTTCCCCTGCGAGAATCGACGATTTCCTCCAGCTCCCACTCTTCCCTGTTGTCTGCCGCCCACTGCCGTTGTGGCGCGTGCTGCGATTCCCTCAGCCCATCTGGCGTTGGTTCTAGCATGCTGATGTGGAAGACTGGGTGGACCTTGAAGTTTTCCGGCAGGTCCAGGCGGTAGGCGCGTTTGCCAACCTTCTCGAGGATGGTGAATGGGCCCATGAGGGGGTTGTCCAGTTTGGCGCTGGGTCTGTCCGTCTTTAGGTGCTTTGTTCGCAGGTAGACGGCCTCCCCCTCCTCAAAACTAAAGTCCATCCTGGACTTGTTGTATTGAGTTTGCATGGCGACGGCGGCTTTTTCCACGTTGTCGCGGCACACCTGGTGCAGCTGGGCTGCGTCCAGTGGCGCGTGGGACGCGCCCCGCGCGACACTGAGCTGCGCTGGCGCTAGTGCTGGGTGGACTTTTGGCAGGTACCCGTTAAGCGCCGCGTTGGGGGGAACTTTGGTTGTGGCGGATGGACGGGAGTTAAGGGCGAGCATCGCGGTAGGCAGGAGTTTGGCCCAGTTATCCTGTTGATAGTTGCAGTACAGCCTTAGGAAGCCCTCCAGCGTCTGGTTGGAGCGTTCCGTCTGACCGTCGGTCTGGGGGTGGTACGCCGTGGACAGCGATGGTTTGACGTCGAGGAGGCGGAGCAACTCCGTCCAGAACGCGGATACGAAGGTCCGGCCACGATCTGAAACGATGTTGTCGGGTAGGCCGTAGTAGGCAAACACGGTTCGATGCAGATCGTAAGCCAGCTCTTTCGCTGACGCTGTGGCGTTGGTGGCGGTGAAGACCGCCGCTTTGGTGAGTCGGTCGACCGTGACGAGGATGCTGTCGTACGTACGCCCATTCGGCGCCTTGGACGGCGGCAGGCCCTCGATGTAATCCATGGATATGGATCCCCACGGTCGACTTGCTGTCTGCAACGGCAAGAGGTACCCGTACGGGCGGTGGCGCGGCTTCTTGCTGCGGCGGCATGCTGCGCATGTCGACACGTACTTCCGGATGTCTGCACGCCACGTGGGCCACCAGAATTGCGCTTCGACAGCCGCGAGGGTCCCTCGGAGCCCCGCGTGTCCGGCTGTCCGAGCGTCGTGGCACCAAGCCAAAACGTCAGGCACCACATCCGGCGGCACGTAGGGCTGCCCCCGCGCAGTTTGCCAGATCCCATCGACGCGTTTGAGCTTTTTGGCCGCTTCGCGGTCTGGCGGCTCGGCGTCCTGGAGTTTGTCGCGGAGAGGCGCAGGTGGGGCTAGCTGGGCGGCGGCCGCAAAGAGCTCCGGCGACAGGAGCACCTTGTGGTTCGCCGGATCTGGCTTCGCTTGGTCGAGGCCCTTCCTCGCGTTTGGATGCAGGTCCGACCGGCGGGTGAGAGCATCCGGCTTGCCGCCCTCGGTGCCTGGGCGGTAGTGGATCTTGAAGTCGAATTTGCTCAGGACCTCGGCGTAGCCGCCCTGGCGGCGGTTCAGCGTCCTCTTGGTCTGGAAGTAGGTCAGCCCCTGGTGGTCGGTGAGGACGTCGAACGGCCGGTCGAGACCATGCAAGTAATGCCTCCATTCCTTGCATGCCAGCACAATGGCGAGAAGCTCCTTGTCATGGATGGCATAGTTGTGCTCCGTGTCCGTCATCTTACGCGACCAGAACGCCACCGGGTGCAGGGTATGGGTCTTGCTGGAGGGCTGCGCGGCCCCGGCCTTGTCGGCTGCGGCCGCCGCGGCGTCCTTCGGGACCCACTGCGACAGGACCGCGGCGCAAACCCAGTCGCTCGCGTCTGTCTCCACCACTGTGAAACGGTCCGGCGACCAATGGGTGAGGATAGGCGCGGTGGTGAACGCTTTCTTGAGACCGTTGAAAGCGTCCTGCTGCGCGTGGGAAAGCCCCACGCGGCCTTTGGCGCCCCCCTTCAGCGCGTCGGTCAAAGGGGCTACGACGCGCGAGTAGTGGCGGATGAAGCGACGGTAGAAGTTGGCGAAGCCGAGAAACGACTGGATGTCGTGGATTGACTCCGGCTCAGGCCATTGTAGTATCGCTTCGACCTTCTTGGTGTCCATCGTGACGCCTCGATTGGTCACCTTGAAGCCAAGAAACTCGCATTCTGCCACCGCAAACTCGCATTTGTCGAGGGCGCAAAACAGGCTGTTTGCGCGCAGCCGACGCAGCACCTCGGCCACATGCTTGGTGTGCTCCGAGGCGTCGCGGCTGAAGATGAGGATGTCGTCGAGGTAGACGATGACGTAAAGGTCCAGGATGTCGGCGAATACCTCGTTCATCAGGCGTTGGAAGGTTGACGGCGCGTTGCAGAGGCCAAACGGCATCACCAGGTATTCGAAGGACCCCTTGCTGGTACGAAAAGCCGTCTTCCACTCGTGTCCTAACGCGATCCGGAGGAGGTTGTAGGCCCCCTTCAGGTCGAGCTTTGTGAAGATGACTGCCTCACCCAGGCGGTCGAGGTGCATGGAAATCAGGGGGATCGGGTACCGGTCCTTGATGGTGATGTTGTTCAGCGCGCGGTAGTCGACGCACAAACGGAGTCGGCCATCCTTCTTGGGCACGAACAACACCGGCGCCGCGTGGGGGCTCTTCGACGGCCGGATGAAGCCTAGTCGGAGCATCTTGTCTACGTAGTCGTGCAGCTCCGCAGTTTCTTTGTGCGACAGGGAGTATAGACGCCCCGGGGGTGGCTCCTTCCCGGGCTCGAGGTTGATCTCGTGGTCGTGGGCGCGGTGGGGCGGTAAGACTTCCGCCCGCGACTCGTCAAAAACGTCGGCAAACTCGGCGAACTCGGGCGGTAGGCTACGCGTGGGGCCTTCCCCACGCGGGGCGGTAAGGTTGTCCGGGTCCTCGAGGGCAATCCGGCGATTGAACAGCAGTTCGCCGTAGTCGTCCGGGAGGAGCTGGACCGTGGCGACGATCACGTCCGCGTCGTCGAGCGCCTGCACGCTTACCCGATGACGCTCCCGGCCCTCCCGGGTGACCACGTCGAGGGTGCGGCTGTCGTATTTGTAGAGGGGGCGTGCTGACTCCATCCAATCCTGTCCTAGGATGAAATCGAAGGCCCCAGTGGGTGCGACGTAGAATCGCTGTTGCTCGGTGACCAGGGCTTTCGCGATCCGTACGTCGGCTTCGAGGGTGTGAGTGATGGGGGTAGATTGCGTGCCGTCGAAACGGCCAGCCCGAAGCGGCCGCGGCAGCGGTTGGGGCGCCGCTGCGGCGTGCTCCAGCATACGTGGGTGTAGAAAAGACGCGGTCGCGCCCGGGTCAACGAGCGCCAGTCCCTGGGCGCTCCCTACGAAGATCTGACATTCGTAGCTTGGGATGGAGGGGTGCCTATGGATATGAATGACGTCGCCGTCCGCTGTGGCGACGTGGTGGCTCACGGATTGTTGAAGTCGTGTGGCCAAAGCCCGTAGGTCGGTAGGTTCGCCGGACGGGGAGCGGGCTAGGCCCAGGCCGGCGTACCATTTCCCGAGGTGTCGTCGAACACCATAGACGCCGGGTCCACCTCTTCGGCGTCGCCGTCGTGGCCTTCCTTGTCCGCGCGGGGTGCGTCCCACGCTTCGACGGTGTCCTCTGCGGGCCCAAGGAGAAAGATGCCATCCTCGTCAAGCATGGCCGCGTTTGCACGAATACCGCGCCCTTCCTCCGCTTTTGGACAGTCTCGCGCCAGGTGGCGTCCGCCGCAGGTGTAGCACAGGCGGTTTTCCATCCGGTACTTGCGTATGTTGTCCGGGATGGGGGGCCTACTGTCTTTGGGCGGCACCGGCGGGCCCGTGGGGGGTCGAACAGCGGTTGCGCTGGCCTGATGGCCGCGCGTTGCGCCAGACTGGGGCGGCGGTCAGGACGTGGAGTGCCCCGGGGCGTGGGACCTTCTCCACGCGGAGCGCGACTTGATGTCCTGCAAGCGGTTCTCTATGCGCACCGCGGCGTCCATGAAGTCCGTGAGGCCGGTGGTGGCCGCGTGTAGCATCTCAAGCCTGATATTTTCCTTGAGGCCTTCTTCGAACGCGGCCAGGAGTTGCTGGTCGTCGTGGGCACCGGCCTGCGTGGCAAGGGCTTGGAACTCGGCGGCATACGCCGCCACGGAGTCCTTCTGGTAGAGCCGGTTGAGCTTGATGCGAGCGGTCCTCTTTGGGTCCGGATCGCCGTGGAGGCGGCGGAGGTTGTCGCAGAAGGCTGGCCAATCGTCGAGCCAAGAGGGGTGCGCCTCCGAGTTGCGGATGTTTCGCAGACGGGCGCCCAGAGTGCCCGTGATGCAAGACATGGCCCAGGTAACGCGCAGGCGATGGTCGCGGAAACGCTGGGGGTTCATGTCAAAGTACATGGAGCACTTGTCAAGGAACTCCTCCAGATCGGTCTTCTCGCCATCCCACGAAGGGGGCGAGATGCGGATCTCGCTCTCCTTGGCGTCGGGGCGCCAGGCCGGCACTTCGGGGGCAGCCGAGCCAGGGGTTCCCGAGGTGGCCCTGGCGTGCGGGCCGTGGTCGGGTACGCCGGAGAGCGTCTCCGACGCCGCGCGAAGGCCCCTGTCCGTGACGCCCGCATGCATGCGGGCAGTGGCGGCCTCGTAACGCTCTTGGGATGTCATCCTTCCGGCGTGGGGCGCTTCCCGCGCGGCGGTGGCAGTCTCAAAGGGAGCGGTGTGAGCGCCCTCCACCATGCGGTTGTAGTTGGCCATTAGACGGCGTACTTCCTCCATCATGGCAGACGCGTTGGTGGCCAGGGCGGCCATGGCGCTGAGCTCCGCATTGGCCGCTGTTGGGCGCGCCGAGGGAGCGGATTGCGGGGTCTCGGTGAAGGCAGACCCCCTGTCGGAATGGCGGTCGCTGTGCGTCGAAGCGGCGTCGCCGGAAGCGGCGTCCTCTTGTTCCGAGGTGGCAGCTGGGTCCAGGCGAAGTTGAGCCGAAGGGGCCCGAGCGACCGTCGAGCCGGAACGGAGGTGTAGGCCTTTGTGGTCTCCCATCCTAACGTTGTTGGTACCGTTGTGGGTCGATTGTAATGTTATGCCCTTGGGGTCTTGCGAACCGCTGTCGGCCGAGGGCGGAGAGTGGGGACCAAGAGAGGTTGTGGGAGAGTAGCTAGGAATCGATGTTGCACCGTAGGATCACTAGGATACTAAGTACAATCAACGAAGGAATCCTAGTGGCGTACCCCGCCGCCACGGCCGTATGCCCAAAGTGCGTGGGGCCGGCCCCACGCACTTTGGGGCTCCGACTGGGCTGCGGCAGTGACCCTCGTCTCGGCTCCGGATTAACGTCCGAGAGCCGTGGGCCCTCGCCGGCCAAGTCCCGACACCAGCTTGGACAGGTGAGAAGGAATGCAGCCAGGCAGGTACCACAGGGACTTTGACCTGCACTTTGCAGAGAGGCAACAGCCATCCTGGACAGCTTGTGATGCAGCTCAGAGCATGCTGTGGATCCTGGCAGCATGCCTGGCGCTGGAACTGTGCAGCAAGATGGCATGGGTCACCTGGCAGAAGGCACCTTTTGTGCCACCTTTTCACATCATCTCTCCAAGAATCCGAGTGCAAAGGCCTTTTGAGCGGTTGGTCCTGGGTGAGCTGGTCCACAGACATGCAGGAGTGGTGCTGGGATGAGCGGGGCATGGCCTTTGTAACAGCCTTTGCCAGAGCAAGAAAAGCGGGCCCAATCCACCCAGCGTCGGACCGACGACGGTGCGGAGCCGAAGCGGCGGCCCAAGAGCAGAGGCAGGCAGAAAAAGGGCGCTCAACTCCACAGCTCAGCACGGCAGGCAGGTGCCTGGCCTCCAACAGCACAGCGCGCGCCGTCGCCGGCCGCCGCTTCGTCGATGACGACCACCATCGATCCACGACTCTGCCACCCGCGCGACACACCCATAGCCAGATCCTGGCAGCTTGCACCCCAGCTCCATCGAGAGCATAGCCGGCCCCATCCCCCTCTGCGACCCATGCGCTAGGCACATCCGACGGCAAATCCAAAGGGGCATCTCGAGCCTCGACCGTCCCCGCCCCTCGACGCACGACCCACGCATCCCGCCGCGCACCCCGCCACGCACCCCGCCACGCTGATCCGCACCTGCCAACATGGACGTCAGACAACCCTCGACGCCATCCGAGGCCGACGACCTCCTCGCCGGCATCGTAGATCAATGGGAGAGCGGCGGCAAAGCCCAACTGTAGGTCACCAACCCCGTACACCGCCACAAATCCATGGCACGGCCGTACTACCCAGGCATAGACGGCCATCGACCCTCCACGCGGCCAACAGGATCACGACCCACTGAACCTCGAGTCTGCCCGAACCGCTCCTCGTCCTCTCCTTTCCCCGTTTTCCACCGACCCCCAACCCCCGGCTGGCCCCGCGTCGACCGCCTCCAGCCAAGACCTTCTGTCGCAGACGCTGCTCGCTTCCTCGTCGACGGAAACGCCGTTGGCGTCTTCTTTCGCCACTTTTAGCCTACTCCTCTCGGCCTTGCTGCGTCAGCAAATCCTTGCACCAAAACTGTCGGATTCCGCCTTCGCAAGCCTCGTCCGCAACCTTGACCAAGCCGACGGCCAACAACCCGCACAAGGGCAGGACGAGAGCGATGGTCCTCCCACCTCGTCCTCCTCCGCCGCCGCCACCAGGCTCCTCGACTGGACGCTCGACGTCGTATGGGGCATGGACGCAGAGATCGACACCCGCAAGGAGCTGGCCACCGACCTCGGCGAGTCGGACGATATCTCCCTGGGCGCACTGCCGGACTCGCCCGTCACAGCGGCTTCGGCCCGCTCAAGATTAGCAGGTGTCGTCAAGGAACTCGTGGTGAGTGTCTGAACCTGCGGCTTGGGCCCGATCTAGGATAGAGATCTCGCTCTCCACTTTCTCCCTTCGAGATGACACATGCACGGTGGCAGAAGTGAGCGGCCGCCCGCGAAGTACCCGCCGTTCAACCGTGCAGGACTGTTGCGGTTCCTCTGCAGGGAAGCTCGCTCCGGTAGCTCAAGATGAGGCGGCGCCGACCACCAACCGGCGCCTTCTGCGGTGGAAGTGACGCCGGATGCAGCGCTGGTGCTTGCCTGCGCAGCCTCGACCAACAACGCCATGGCGGCCCCTTCACAGCAGGTCGGCGACGCCATGAGCAGCTCGACAGTGCGTCCCGCGTTGTGGGCTCTCTTGGCTAGGTTGGCAGCTCGAGCTGAGCAGATCGGAGAAAGCGGCCTTCCACTCAGCCCGCAGTCGAACAACGTTCCGCCCCGACGGCATCGCCCTCGGCTGCACCAGGCGGCCTGGGACGACTCCGCTCTACTGCTCCACCTCTCCGCCGCGATGGACCTTTCCGACTCGACACCCAGCCGATCCAGCCACCAGCAGCGAATCTGATCGTTGACACCCTCCAACCTCTTGCACATCCTTCTCGCCCGTCCGTCGCTCTCTTCCCAACACCCACGCCCCTGCCCCCTCTCTTCGCACCCAACTCTTCCCGACGACCGGCCTTCAACCTACCACCTAACGACCACGCTGCTGCCGCTGCAGCTCGACGGCTTCGTGTCAAAGGAGCAAGCGTGCGAGCGGCTTGAGCAGGGCCTGCTGGCCGCCGCAGGCCTCATCATCAACGAGGCCTTTTTCTCGAAGCGGACGATCCAGCTGCGAACGGCGCGGCTGTTCAAGCAGCAAAAGTTCAATCTGCTGCGAGAGGAGAACGAGGGCTACTCGGGCCTCATTGTCGAGATCACGCGCGGGATAGGGCCACCCATTGTTGCGGCGTACGCCGACGAGGGCGCGGCCGAGGGAGCCGCACCGCCCGCGCGGCCAGACTCGCCAGTGATGGTGGTGGAGCAGGAATCGCCGCTGGAGCGCAACCGGAGGGCGGCGAGGGTGATGAACAACATCCAGGCGCTCATCGGCTACTTTGACCTCGATGCCAACCGCGTCCTCGACATCATGCTCGACGTCTTTTCGACCAACGTCGTCCACCACTACCCCTTCTTCCTCAGCCTCCTCGCGGCGTCGCCGTGGGGCAAGGATCGGACGGTGAACGAGGCCGGCACAGGGGCGGGCGGCGAGGCCATGGACGTCGACGGCGACGGCGCAAAGTCTCGCTTCGGCACCGTCGACGTTGGCCTGGGCGCCGAGCGGGGCAACAAGACCTGCGCCCACGTCCTCGGCTTCAAGTTTGCCCACTATTGCAGTCAGGAGGTCCGGGACGCCGTGCCCGAGGACCTCTACTACATGGCGGCGCTGCTGGTGCACGAGGGCTACGTGCGGCTGTCGGACCTCTTTTCCCACCTCTCGCCGGGCGAGGAGGGCATGACGCAGCTGCAGGGCAGATACCGCAAGGCGCTCACCGAAAAGGTCTCGAGCGCACGGGGCAACGCGCTGTCGATGGCCGCGCCGCTGACCGACGAGACGAGCTCGGCGCTGAGCAAGGCCGACGCCGACAAGGCCGCGGCCGCGGCGCAGCAAAAGGAGGCGCCCAACCAGATCCTCGGCCTCACCAAGGCGTTCCTCGGCCTCGGCAGGCTCGACCACGCCCTCTTCATCCTTACGCGCTATCCGTGGCTCTGCGGCGCGTACCCAGAGGTGGCCGACGCCTACATCCGCCTGCTCAAGGTCTCGATCTCGCCCGCCTACGACGAGATCTCGTTTGCCC